GTCGCGTTGCGTGTCGGGACTGCGACTAAGCAACAGAACGTGAGAAACTGAATTCTGAACAGTGTCCAGCCCAACGATTGAGGCGTTAGTCTTTGAACGCAACCAAGCCCACTTAACTATGAGTGCTTTGCTTATCGGAATTATTTCTGCGCTTGTTGGGCATATCAGCTGCGACAGTTTACACTCACTTCTAGGGTTTCTAGAACTCTCTGTTACTTCAGCCTTCTGTGCCCACCAAGCCTGTCAATCCGCACTGGTGTCTGGCGGTCCGTCGAGCTACATTGAACACTCGACCAGAAGGACCATGTACCCAAGCTTCGAGACATTTTGGTGTTGGGTGAGATTCATTGCTCGAAGCTAGCTGGCTTTGCAGTTACTCAAGCGGAGTACTCTGTCTTTTGGCGTTACGGATAGTACTATCTAGTGAGAGTCAACCTTAGAAGAGACATTAACTAAAAGGGACCTAAATACGTGGCTCAAGAAGGTCCCAAAATCAGGTCTCTTCAAAGCAAGGTCTCCTCAGTGGCACGCGAGGTGTGGGTCCTTTAAGCGCTTCTGAAATATGAGGTGGAGGCAGCAACTCACAGGCGCCTGAGGTGTTCCGGAATGAGCAACCTCAGGTAATCCGGCCATACGAACTATGGATAATGACAAGTTTAGTTCGCAAACAGGGACAACATTTGGCCAGATGGCTCCAGTTGTTTCGGAAGTTAGCACCATACAGACAGCCGGTAGTCAGTAGAGCAGCGGGTGCTCGGCGTTACCCGTTGGTATCGATATCAGTCTGAGGCACCACCCCGTTTTTCAGCCACATCAACTTTGCCTAAATTTTTATCCGTAGTTCCAGAAACTACAGAGACGTATGAGATCAACCTACCACCACATGGCTCCCTAAGCATCACAAAAATATTAGCGATTATCAAAGCTCGATTCCGAAGGGGCGCAAGCAGTGACAATGAAAAAAATTACGGGATAAATCCATGCATTCTCGGGCTAGCTAGTCGGCTACATCCGGGTATGTCGGACAACTGTAATAGGGTCCTGGAAGAGCCATCTTTTCCGACCCACTCCCACAGCGCCAGTCAAATGCACGCACCGAATGATTCTCTGTGCACACAGTTCAAAAGAAGGGAAGTTTCTACATAAAAACGCGGCACTTAACGGTGTCTATTAAAAACATTGAAATCTCCCAATTCAGGGAATTTTTCGCTGGATTTTGTTTACAGATTCTTGAGGAATAATTTGGGGCCAGAATTGTTTATTATTATCCACCATGGATCGGCGTGATTGGTCTGGGAGGGCAATGGAAGATTATGTGGAGTGGGTGTTTTCCACATGTTTTTCTCCCCTGTGTCAATTGAAAATATTTTCATCGAATACTCGGGCGGAACCTCAACTGCTGCTACCTCGTGGTTTAATGTTTTAGTTAGAGCGAAGGATCAAGGCCGTCGAATGATTACCTACATTCTTTTCAACCAAATGGAAGTTTGGCACCGACTGAGGAGTCGCTTAAGAGGGGCTTGGTGATACCTAACGATTGTTCACCAAACCCTTCTGAAATATACACTCTTCCTCTACCTCACAGGCCAGAATTTTTAGTCAAATGCTAAGGGTGCTGTAAGTCAGTCAGACTTTCTTCTTCGGCCCGGGAATCCGAGAAGTTCCCATAAAAACGGTGACGTCCCTGTCTGTTCTTGGTCGGAATCTTCCTTGCTAGCCTTATTGTCAAGTAAACCAAAGGTGCACTACATGTAGTGAGCGTCCAAAACCAGATCATAAGTGCTTTAACGTATATGAAGTTTGTGAGCTGACAACATCGTCATCAAACATTCGGGGGATACTAGATCGTGATTGGTGGATGGGTCCACAGTTTTGGCGAATCAGAGCTCAGCCTGATGCTGGAGTTGCAAGCGGCTCAATCTTTTGGCTAATGGCGTACCGGGCAGACACTTGGCCGTAGCCACGTCTAGCTGCGAGCGGTAAAGGGGTTTCATTGTGGGATTCTGACCAGGAGTATCATTATCTCTTGCCGCTCATCGCTCATTGACCTCCCCTCACACTTTCCCCACCCATCGAATGATGCAATGCGATCAACCGGTCTTCCGGCCCTTTAGTCATTGTGTATTTTACAGTGCCCGCCATTTCGAGTAGTCTATATGTAGATGATGGTAGCGTACAAGCCTGCCCACTGGAACTCTGTTCATGGGCTCTCTTTCTGTTTCCTAACCACAGATTTCCGTGAACTTTTTCGACGAATCACTGTCCCCTGGTGCTTCCATAGTGTACATACAACATATTTAGCGACCACATCTGGATGGTCATCACATTGTTGGTCCTACCAATAAGTGCCTGGCTGTACACATGTGCGTACGGACCTCATGGCTAAAGCGTTGCCCAGCCATACGGCTCACACATTCCAGACACCAACCTCACGCACTGGCCTGTTCAGGTAGGCCATGGTGCACCTGGGACTGTGTTCTTCAAAAAAATGGTGGTGTAGTTTACAGTGCCCTCCATCTCGCTTAATTTATATGTAAAGGTTGACAGTGTGCAACTTTGCTTACTGGGCTTGGCTCATGGGCTTTCTTTCTGATTTCCATCCACAGAAATTATCGTGAACACTTTTGGAGAGCCCCTGTCGCATGGTGCTTCAGTGGTGTGCATACTACGATATTCCCGTCTCCAAAATATCGCCTGGAAAATTTGACAAAAATAACCAATCACCTCAAAAATCTGATCCACGTTACAGCCTATAATGCCCGCAAACTGTCCATTCGGGCAGCAGGCATCCCTTGCTGAAACATAGTTTTCCCCAGCTGTCGATGTATGTTGTATCTTTGATTCATGCATACAAGACCCCACCTTAGTCGTGCGGTGCTCTAGACGATATAAGGTGTTCCACATTTCAGTTTGTGTATCTGATGATCCTGACGCAATGGCTCGCGGTCTTCACGCTGCGGAAGCTGTACTGAATGCCAAGGCTGAAATCACCTTACTTGATTGGATCCCACCAAACAGTCGCATTTGCCCTGTGCGTTTCTTGGTTTAATTAGGATCAATATAGTTCGGTGCGGTAAATAGTGTTTATAAGTCGCTGCGTTAAATTGCGTTTATTTTTCGTATCAGCATTGGCCTCGACGGACTGCAGTTCTGGGACTGAGGAGGGTAATGTGGAGGTTTGTTGTGACTGCGCCGGCCGGCAAGAAAAACGGATATAGTAATCCTGCTGGGTAATATGAATGCTTAAGTTGGACGACTAACCCGGAAAAAGGAAAAATTGGGCGGTAGATTCGGAGTTTATGCTCAAGTTTATACCGAATAACGGGGAGTGGCATCTTCAGTCGTGTGCTGATCACCGCCTGTTGCTGGCCAGTATGGACTCTCAGCGTAAACCTTCACATTAAGTTACTTTCAGGACCCAACTGCAAAACAGTCATAGACGCAATTGGACCATGTGGCTTTCAGTTACCGATGGGGAGCCTCAATTGAAGATCGTTGTTCTTCCCAGGATAAACACCTTGAGTCTAATCATGTCATTGTGCGGGTCTGGTCATCGCTTCGCTTTTCGTCAGCATTGTGCTTGGCAAAGCAGAACAACTCCATTCACTAACCTCGATAAGTTTCTGGAGCTCAAGAGTAACGAGGTGATCTGGCTGGAAAGCTACTTGAAACGCACAGTCATAGGGATGACGAATGTTCCTTGCCGGTTCAGTGGAAGCCATTTAATGAAGCTATACCCTCGGCTACAAAACTTTATCCGAGTCATCTAACTTGACTCAATGAACACTGGATATCGTCGAGATCAATAGATCTTACGGCCGTCAGAAAGGCCATACCAACAGCTATACACTACGATGACGCACGCAGATTCTTCAAACACCAGATAACCAAGAGCTTGAATGACAGAACGCTGATGGATTTCAAAGGCCCAGAAAATGGAGGCCTTTGCTGCAGGCAACATCTGCGTCCTGTTTCGGATAATTCACTCAATTGATCAAAAGAAAACAAGTGTCTCAATGGTCTTCTTGAGCATTCGGCTGAATACTAAAAAAACAGGTCACCTGGTCTCTAGCACAACCGCTGGAAGAACCCAGCGGACCTGAATGGATTATTGGGACCATCCCGCCGTCAATGCATTCAGCGTGAGGTACTAATCCTCTAACGCGACAAGGCACCTGGCCCCGATGGTTTGCCCCCCAGCATTTATCAGAGACGGTGGTGATGTCCTGGTGAACGGTCTGAAGACCATACTTCAGGATATTTGGAACAAAAACAGAATACCTGTAGAATATAGCGCCTCTATCGTGGTTCCGGTCTACAGAAAGTGTGCAATAATTTGATGCGAAAACCATCGTGTAATCAGCTTTGTATCCGTCTCACCTAAGTTGCTGTCACGTTATTTTGCACAGTTTGATCGATTATTGGGAGAGACATCCGCGAGAATCAATTTGGGTTTCGCCCTGGAAGATGCATCGACCACATTTTTACATTGAGACAAGCTCTTGAACAGCGCCACTCTTTCGAACGTCTCACGTTGGTCATTTTTCCCTGTCTAAGAGCTGCTTTGACTCTGTCGATCGTCGGAAACTTTGCCGGGGTGTGATCAAGGGTATCCGTCCTAAATTTGTATGCTTTTTAAGGACACTGTATGTGAACTACTGCGGGTGGATACAAGTATACGACCAGTTTTCACCTGAGTTTACAACCTTCAGCGGTGTAAGGCAAGGACGCCCTCTGTCGTCTTTCCTCGTCGACTTTGCTATAAATGTGCTGTTTGAAACTTGCATGCCTGCCTCTGAAAAAATCGTTCAACTATAGCACACTTTCGGTGCGTAGCTGCCATGCGAACGGTGGGAGGCACGAGGGTTGGGATACTACCAGGTTGCCAAAGCCCAGAGAGTAGCATTCGAGAGGTTGGGTTCGAACCACGGACCTTCCGGTCCGTAAGCAGGCACCTTCACCACTGATCTGTCTCGAACCTCTGAAAATTCGGGGTTTAAATGCTCCCGGCATGTTCGCTTACAGACATCGAGTATATGGGCGATGTTGCTCTACTTGGTTCAGATCCTTCAAAAATACACACCATTTTAGATAACGTAAATACTTTTGTCACATGGTTCGCCATGAGCTTCACAGCTGCAAAGTATAAAGTGCTGCTAAAAGACTGGGTAGGATCCCGACCTAAAGCTGCCACCTTGACTAACGTAAATTTGTCACATGGTTCGCCATGAGCTTCACAGCTGCAAAGTATAAAGTGCTGCTAAAAGACTGGGTAGGATCCCGACCTAAATAAAGCACCTTGACGTGGCGGTCGGGCTTCAGTGCTGCAATGATCCCGCGGGCTACACTGGCTGGAACTTCGTTCCACAAGGTGCAACCATGCCAGGAAGGCCAAAGGGGAGCTGTCAGACCAAGAGCAGCGAGACCCCGTACTACGAGTAATCGTGCTACGAGGCGGTCTGGGGGTAAAGTCGTACTGTCCTCTGCGACAGGAGTGTGA